CCATTCCCATCAAGAATAATGGCATCCCATTGAGAATATCGTTGTGGTCGTGGGCTTTCAATCTGCATCAGTGGTGGTTCTCGTGGCTCATCACTTATATGGTCCTATATATTGGATCTCTTAATCTGTGGCTACAGAGAGTCACCGATGATATACAAATCGCCGGCAATTTTGCCAAAATCTACGGAACCGCACAAATCGCAGCTCTATTGTTGGCACCGATGGCCGGATTCTTCATGGACTGCAGTATTCAAAAGGCGGACAAAGAGACGGATCCCTTCATTAGAAAACTAAATCGAGTCAGAGCTGGCTTTTGGCCACTCTTTACAACGTCTTTATTCTTAAGCTTTTGTCTCTTTTGTCGCTTCTTTGATACGGAGACCGCGATCTATATTTCCATTGTGTTTATGACTATATTTCGCGCATTTCTTGTGGCCGTCGGAACCGCTTATCTTCGCATTCGGTATAAAAACTAATTGATATCCCGATAATGATTGTCATAATTATGTTCACACCCAAAACAGATTCAATGGCCAACACTTCAACCGTCTATTGGGTATAATGAGTACGAGTGCATCCATTGTATCATTAGTTCAATTTCCACTGTTTGTATGGGAGTCTCAATATCCTACCAGTGCCTTTTGGGTAATGCTATATTTTGTCCTCAATTTTTGTTGTGATTGTAATATATTTGATCATTTGATTTGCGTATTACAGGTGAATATATTCAACTGTTTTTGTACACTAATAGCGTTTGTGAATCCTATTTATATACTCTTCACTCCATTACAAAAATATTTATTACGTAAAGAAGAGCGAGAAGAAGCTGAAGCCAAGTCCCAGTGATTTGCACCATATATTAGTTATTTATATAAATTTTCATACATTTATTTTATGGCTATTATATTTTTATATAAAACAAATTATCTATAATTCATACTATCGTTTTGTTAAGTATTTGTAATATTGTTTATAATTCTTGTAAAGAATAACCCGTAATAATAAAACATTTATTCATACATTTTGTGCTAACAGTAATTACTATTATTAAGTAAAAACCGCGTTACAATTTTATAATTACAGTATAAAACTAAATAATTATATAATTATTAAAAATTTAAATTTCGAGTGAAAGTTGTCAAGACCCTGAACTTGAAACTTAGTACAAAGTAAGTGATGGAAAATAAAGTTTAGATTTAAATGTTATGTAATTCAATGTGTTTTTTCGGTTCACTAAATATATTAAGATTTTCCTTTTATTATATTATACTTATTACAAAAGTACCGTATAATTAAAAATAAGCGGAAAAATTAACAATAATTAAAACATTGATTTCTTATCTGAAAATTAATTGTGTGTTTAAAACTAAAAAAGTTATAATTGAATAAATTTAAATCTAACGTTTATGTTTCAAAGTAGAAGTTTATTAAGTAAATGTTCATGTCAAATTTATGAGTACAAACAGATTACTGTTAGACGCTTACTTACTATTATATAAGTATTGAGTTAAGTTAGAAACTGTGTGTCTCTTACTTATATGTATTTACCACCGATTAATCCTTAAATTCAAGGATATCTGTCATCGATTTCATAATTGTGTGATGAGAAGCACATTAATATTATACAGTATTATACAGTATTATACATTAATTTTAAAATTCTAACCATTTTTTCAAACACTGGTTATTCATTCCATATAAACAATTATTATCACGAATTATTCAATGGGCTTGATGAATCATATTTGATTAATTAGTTAACACACAAAGAATTGGCTGTAATTTTTAATTTTACCAGAATCAGTTAATTTTTTGTTTATTTCAGTACAAGATATTTAATTACCATATTGCGTTAGATAATAGTTATAGATAATAAAAATTTTTAACCAAGTAATTAATATGTTTATGTAATAAATTAATTTAGAAATTTAAATTATTATAATCATAATCATTCTTTCATTTGAATTAAAACTATAATATATTTTAATATAATATATTATACTATACTTACAACATACTATATTTTAATATTTTGTCAAAATGTGTTTAAAGATTTATTTGTATTAATCGTGAATTGAATATATAATATAAACTCCCAAAGTCACACCAAAGTGGTCTCAAATTATTGAAGATATTGTAATAAAAATTCATGAGCTTTATTCACATTTCTGTGATCATGATGTCTGGAATGAAACTAAATCGAGTAAAAAGTCTATACATTTTGATAATTATTTCAATTTTATTAATAGTTAATGTGAAGCATGTGTTCCCAAAAGTGTACAATAGGTGTGATTTGGCACAAGAACTCGTTCGTAGAGATAGTCCACTCTTTCAGGACTTGAATACATGTAAGAAATAATTGATTGTAAAGTTGTTTTATTATAAAAGATAATTAATTTAACAATTATTTGATTAAAAGGGTTGTGTGTTATTCAAAGGGAAAGCTCTTATAACACGAGTGCACACAATGTATACAATGGAGATCACGGCTTGTTTCAGGTCTGCAACCATTAGCAGTGATCATAAAATTATATCTAGGTAATAATTTTTGGGGAATATTTTTTCTAGATTAACGATCAGTATTGGTGTGACCCTCAAAATGGCAAATACAGTGCAAATGCCTGCGCGATGCCATGCACCTGTATGTTTTTTGTGTGATTCAAACTTTTCAAAAAATTAGTTCAAATAAACATTAAACTTAACAATAATTTTGTGGACCAGATCTCAGGGACGATGACTTGACAGACGATATTCAATGCGTTAAACAAATATTTAATATTCACGGCTTTAAGGCCTGGTATAAGAATTTTATATAAAATAAATGTATCTTAAAAATGATTTCCACTACTAATTCAATTGCAAATTACTTTGAATTCTGGATATGAAGGGCTGTTTATAGAAGTTGCCAAAACAGGAATTCCCGTTCATTTGCTGATAGAGAGTGCAATTATGTGGATAACTATTCGACTGTAGAAAAGGTCATTTTTAAAAACGTCTAATATCACAAATTAATGATCTATCATTTATTTATAGGTAACTCCAGTTCAAGCATACAATCACTGGAATGGGTTTATTCCGACACAATATTTTGATATTAATAACTATTTCTATGATTATAATAATGATTTCAATGGCATTACAAGTTCTTACCCTTATCTCAGTCAACATCCATATGAGAGAGACTTTTATTTGAATCCTTATATTGAAAACCCTTTGTTATACTTTTAATTTTGCATTCATTCATTTGTTTGTATAATTTGTTTGCTCAATATAATAAAATGCGGATATTTTTAAAGACAATATTATTTTCTTAATAATAACATGCTTTTTTAATGTCAAAAATTATATTTAAAGTCAGTAGTTATTTAGACTAACTTATAATAAGTATATATCTATACTAGTATATATAGTTATATAGTTATATACTTATATAACTACTATATTATTTAATTGAATTTTAGCGTGAGTTTTATGTTTTGCATGTTTTATTTAAAAGACAAAATAAATCTTTTTGAACAAACAGATAGGCGTTAAAGTTATGGCATAGAGTCTCATACAATAATGAACTTGATGATTAAGGTTAAAAATTGAGGCAAAAGTCTAGACAATAAGAGTATTTCTTGAAATAATTTTATAAAAATCAAAATTTTATTCAAAATATCTTTATTTGTTGGCAAATCATATGTTTTATTCATTTGATAATTTGAAAAAATCTTAGGAATTCCTACAAATTTTATTTTTTATTTTAAACCGGAGATTGGATGATAATTATTAGAGGCATACCGTTAAACTACTTTATGCTTGTTTACAATATACAAATTTGTATGAATTATTTTCAATAAATGGGTTAATTGAGTGTTTTTGTTGGGTTACATTAGATTTTATTACACAATTATTATACAATTGATGACAGCATTGTAGTTATGCTTTTAATAATCAAATAAAAAATTCACTACAGTATATAATGGTATTTAATAAAATACTTAAATCTAAATTGTTGATTATTTCATATAAAATATTCGCACAGTTATGTAAGAGTTGTATTTTCTTGAGATTGAGAAAAATGTTAAGAACCGCTATATTAAGTTATTTTTGTATATTTTGTTCAATTAATATAATTTACGGCAAAATATTTCGCAGATGTGATCTCTTAAGAGAGTTAAGTACTAAACACGACATACCGGACGACAATTTGGGAGATTGTGAGCAGTTATTCAATTAAAATACTTTTCTTTACTGTTATTTTTAAAGTAATTGAATAATTTTAAACAAATTAAAGGGATTTGTATAATGTTTTGGGAAAGTGGTTTGGATACGAAAGCCCACCGGATCGGCAACTTTGATGGCAGCAGTAATTACGGTATACTACAAATCAGTGATTTAATGTGGTGTCAGGCAAACGGTCGCAAAAATAACACAAACTTTTGCGATTCTTCGTGCGATAGTCAGTAAACCTTTTGGATTCAATGGTTTCCTTTTCTGAAAAATAATTCATTTTTATCATTTAATGAATTCAGAGTTTCGTGATTCAGACATAACGGATGATATGAAGTGTGCGCTTCTTATATATAAACTCCAGGGCTTTGACGCCTGGTTTGTAAACTTTATCTCAAAATTATTTAATCCGTAAACTCATTATTTTTATTAACGAATTTATTTTGGTACGCCTACGAAAGGGGAACTTATAACACCCGGTGCCACTCAGACAACAATCATTACACGGAAGGCTGCAATACCCAGAATTTGACGCCAAAGGAGAAAAACTCAGAAAATAGTGAGAAAGCATTGATTCCGTCGATAAAAGACACAAAAAAGAAGTCTTCTTTAGTGAAACAACTGCTGGAAATGTCAAAAACATCGATGAATTTACCGGATAGGATGTTGAGAAAAACTCAGAAAATAGTGAGAAAGCATTGATTCCGTCGATAAAAGACACAAAAAAGAAGTCTTCTTTAGTGAAACAACTGCTGGAAATGTCAAAAACATCGATGAATTTACCCGAAAGGATGTTCAGAGGAATCAATCGCCGGTCGATCGCAAACAGCACTCAAACGAAGCCACAAAACAAAGCCAAAGCTAACGGCAAACCCAACGCTAGTAAAAGCGATGCCAACAAGAAAGTGGTCAGAAGTCAGGTAAATAACAGTAAGGATAAGGGATTAAAGCGGACAAAGAGGGGACTGTTAGGTCAGGATAGCATAAACCCGTTTGAAGATGCCAGGATATTTGTGTTCAACCCTTTGTGTTGCTTTAATTGGAAGGCGGCGGACGTGGAGTGGTCTAACGCCAAGAACTGGTAATCCCGGTCACCCTATCGATCATTCTATAGCTTTATTTTTCTTATTTTACTCGTACGACAGGCTCCGGGATATTAGGACATCGGTTGGATAAAGGGATGCGATATGTGTTGAATGGATGGGAGGAACGCATGCTCTACCGATTCTGTGCATCCATTGATTATTGGCAGAGATAAACATTTTTAGGACTCATACACTCATAAAATACAATTCAATTATAGTTTTTCGCATATGTATTGAATTCTTAATTACATTTGTCTCAGTGATTATTATAGACCTAATATTATTGTAATATTTTAATTAATTACTAATAATAATGAACATGTATTTATCTAAAATTATGTTATTTATATTCAGTCCATGAGTTCATATATTATACGAGCACTTAAATTATTTTTTCCAATGAATCCTTAATTAAATTATTTTATATTTATTAAAATGCACTTCAAATCTATAGTTTTTCACTAAATATTATTGTCGTTTATTTTCATTACTGTGTATAGTACGCTAATAATTGATTCACAAATAATTTATAAATAAATTAATGAATACAAAAATTACTATTAATAACATAACAGTAATATTAAAAATGATTTATTATTTTAATAAAAAATTAAAGATTAATTTTGACCAGAAACTTTGTTACAACTTTCTAAATGACTTTTATTAATCATTGTTTATAAGAACTTAAAGAACTTAATGATTAGAAAGCAATGACTAAACAGTAAACAAAAAATTAAAAAATCATTTCACCGATAAGAAGTGACAAATGGATGAGTGTTTGGAAAGTCATGTTAATCTCTAAACAGATTTAAATAAAAACATTTCATTAAATGACAAAATTGTCGCCTAATTAATAATCAGTAGACTTGCGAGTCAGTCAGTGCTCTGTCAATAAAATTCATATAATATTGTTATTGAGTGTCAAGTTATGTAAAGTGATTCCTCAACACATTTATGATCATAAAAGTGGTGACAAAATGGTAACGAAATACATGAAACATATGAATGCTCGGACACGAAGAAGAAGACTGATTGTTGTGATAATCATTTGTACGGTTTTGTTGTCGTTGTTTGCACTGAACTGTTATCTCTTCAATTTCCTCTCGTATCCCAAATGGAGTCCATTCACAGAATATTCTTCAATCGGCAACATCTCATCGCTCGCCAAACACCGGAACCAATTCATCGATGAGATTATACTTCAAAAGCATAATAATATTAATTTCATTCATAGGATTAATAGCAGCAAAAAGAAAGTCATACTCTTGTGGACCACATTCTTCGGGCAAACGGATTACATTCAACCCATATATGAGAGCACAGCGTGTCTGCCATCCAATTGTCTCTTCACATCCAATCGGAGTTATCTTCAGGAAAGCGATGCCCTTCTCTTCCACTTGCGTGACGTGAATGTCAAGGATTGGCCCAATTATAGGACACCCGACCAGAGATACATTCTTCTCAATCACGAGTCGCCGCCAAATACGCCAAACATATTGCACAGACTGGACGGTCAGATGAATTGGACGGCAACCTATCGTTACGGATCTGATATATTCCTGACGCCACAGTTTCAACGAAGAGCTCAACCAAACCCTAAGTTTAAACCGGATGTCAATTATCTGCAAAACAAGACACGAATGATCGCATGGTTGGCCAGTAATTGCAAAACAGACAGCAATAGAGAGACTTATGTGGAAGAGTTGAAGAAGACGGTGACTGTCGATGTGTACGGAAAATGTGGTCACAAGACATGCCTTCCCAAGATGTCCACTCAGTGTCTGAAGCAAGTGTCAGAAGAATATAGATTTATTCTGGCCTTTGAAAACTCCATTTGTCGCGATTATGTCACCGAAAAGTACTTCAATCCTCTGGAATTCGATATCATTCCCATTGTTTTCGGCGGATCTGACTATAAGAGGATTGCGCCGAAGAAATCGTTTATCGACGCCCTGTCCTACAGCTCTCCCCGACATTTGGCCCGATATTTGTTATACTTAAGCAAAAACCCGAAGCAATACAACGAGTATTTCCAATGGAAACGTGACTATGAGCTCACTTTATCCCACTATTCGTGTCAAATATGCCATAAACTCAATGATCCTTCAGAACCGGTGAAGGTATGGAACCAATTAGACAAATGGTGGTTCGATGAGTCACAGTGCAAGACATGGATGCCAAACAAGTATCTCCATTGACCCCAAAGTAATCTCCTTTTTTGAGACAACGATTTACCGCTATATCAATGCATTGATCGCACCACCAAATCCTTAGCCATTAAATGCAATATTTATAAGTTATAAATGCCTTTCACTCGACTCTTCTCAACACATNNCCATTTGTCTAATTGGTTCCATACCTTCACCGGTTCTGAAGGATCATTGAGTTTATGGCATATTTGACACGAATAGTGGGATAAAGTGAGCTCATAGTCACGTTTCCATTGGAAATACTCGTTGTATTGCTTCGGGTTTTTGCTTAAGTATAACAAATATCGGGCCAAATGTCGGGGAGAGCTGTAGGACAGGGCGTCGATAAACGATTTCTTCGGCGCAATCCTCTTATAGTCAGATCCGCCGAAAACAATGGGAATGATATCGAATTCCAGAGGATTGAAGTACTTTTCAGTGACATAATCGCGACAAATGGAGTTTTCAAAGGCCAGAATAAATCGATATTCTTCTGACACTTGCTTCAGACACTGAGTGGACATCTTGGGAAGGCATGTCTTGTGACCACATTTTCCGAACACATCGACAGTCACCGTCTTCTTCAACTCTTCCACATAAGTCTCTCTATTGCTGTCTGTTTTGCAATTACTGGCCAACCATGCGATCATTCGGGTCTTATTCTGCAGATAATTGACATCCGGTTTAAACTTAGGGTTTGGTTTAGCTCTTCGTTGAAACTGTGGCGTCAGGAATATATCAGATCCGTAACGATAGGTTGCCGTCCAATTCATCTGACCGTCCAGTCTGTGCAATATGTTTGGCGTATTTGGCGGCGACTCGTGATTCAGAAGAATGTATCTCTGGTCGGGTGTCCTATAATTGGGCCAATCCTTGACATTCACGTCACGCAAGTGGAAGAGAAGGGCATCGCTTTCCTGAAGATAACTCCGATTGGATGTGAAGAGACAATTGGATGGCAGACACGCTGTGCTCTCATATATGGGTTGAAGGTAATCCGTTTGCCCGAAGAATGTGGTCCACAAGAGTATGACTTTCTTTTTGCTGCTATTAATCCTATGAATGAAATGAATATTATTATGCTTTTGAAGTATAATCTCATCGATGAATTGGTTCCGGTGTTGCAATGAGATGTTGCCGATTGAAGAATATTCTGTGAATGGACTCCATTTGGGATACGAGAGGAAATTGAAGAGATAACAGTTCAGCGCAAACAACGACAACAAAACCGTACAAATGATTATCACAACAATCAATCTCCTTCTTCGTGTCCGAGCATTCATATGTTTCATGTATTTCGTTACCATTTTGTCACCACTTTTATGATCATAAATGTGTTGAGGAATCACTTTACATAACTTGACACTCAATAACACTATTATATGAATTTTATTCACAGAGCACTGACTGACTCGCAAGTCTACTGATTATTAATTAGGCGACAATTTTGTCATTTAATGAAATGTTTTTATTTAAATCTGTTTAGAGATTAACATGACTTTCCAAACACTCATCCATTTGTTACTTCTTATCGGTGAAATGATTTTTTAATTTTTTGTTTACTGTTTAGTCATTGCTTTCTAATCATTAAGTTCTTTAAGTTATAAACAATGATTAATACAAGTCATTTAGAAAGTTGTAACAAAGTTTCTGGTCCAAATTAATCTTTAATTTTTTATTAAAATTATAAATCATTTTTAATATTACTGTTATGTTATTAATAGTAATTTTTGTATTAATTAATTAATTTATAAATTATTTGTGAATCAATTATTAGCGTACTATACACAGTAATGAAAATAAACGACAACAACATTTAGTGAAAAACTATAGATTTGAAGTGCATTTTAATAAATATAAAATAATTTAATTAAGGATTCATTGGAAAAAATAATTTAAGTGCTCGTATAATATATGAACTCATGGACTGAATATAAATAA